CATATTAATAATCTTGAGTTGTTCACAAAATTTTATATGATATGCCCCCTTTTATTGTGATCTTTATAGTTATATTATATTGTGTGTATGTATGTATCTGTCTGCATGTGTATCTGTGCCGCCAATAGTGACATGTTGGTAGAGCGGCTTCTTTGAATGTCTTAAGTCCCCTCAGGTCACAGATTTGAATCCCCCCTCTACGCAGTTTGCCAGTAATGAGGGTGGTCCTCGAATAATTAGGCATATGAGAATGACTGGGGGCTCATATAATAGCCTCCATCCATTCTATAAGGAAAAAAATATGTACATATATGTATATATGATTAATGAATTTATTATACATGCATGGTATAACTCAATGATAACATGTCATTATCAAAAGCAGTCAAAGTACTATTGTGGAAAGTGACTTGAAATCAACATCATGAAATTGAACACTACAACAATAACTGCTATATATATATATATTAAAATTAATAATAATAACTGACAGCAATGCAGAGAGTTGTCTGCCCTCCATGTTTTGCTTCCCACTCCATTATTATTTTTCATGTATATTTAGTCAAATGATAGAGATGGCTGGATTTTTTAGTTTTTTTAATTATTTTGAAAATAACATTTTAACTTAGGAAAAAATATATAATTTGTCTAAAATAATTAATTTCGGGTCTGCCAACCAGCAGCTCCCACGTAATTTACAAGATTTTTATTTATTTATTTATTTATTTTGGCACATAATGAATCAAATGAGGAAACAGAGGATAAAACAAATCTTCCAGCTATGCGAAAAAATAAAAATAAAATAAAAAATAAAATAATATGTTGAAAGTTATGTTGATCTAGAAAGGAAATAAATAGTAATAATTTATGAAGTAAAATATATTTTATAAAAATAGTTTATATATGTAATTCTTGGTAACATGCATCCCATGTAGCTCAAGCCCACCGCATTAACAGCATTATAAGAATTATGTATGATGAACCCATAGAAAAATTGGAAATTATATATAGATATAT